GTTCTCTGTTTAACAAACAGACTCCACTTTACAATTTTACTCTAAGATAAACCCATTACAAGCCACTTACCGTCACGTTGCCCGCATTCATTAGAGACTCTTTGTTGCTGAACACAGGCTTAGGGGTCTGTGGAGAAGAACATGCAATACGTTGAACATCCTTGTTTTCAAGCGGACATACGTATAACACAATGCCAAACTTTTAAAAATCCGCATAATGTAGCCATCCCCTCTTTAAAAGATAACGAAAAAGTAGGATTAACAAGAAAAGACCAACATCGTAATCATCCTTGATTAAGTTAACACCCTGCAACAATTTTCCCACAGAAGATCTGAAAGAAACGCCAAACAACTTTTTTTGTAAGATGAAAACGAAACCAGTACATTCCTTCATCGACGTTACAACGTGAAGTGCTCCTATAATCTCCCTCTGCGTTTATTTTAACAAATGAACGATTTATTAATGGCATATCTGCAAAAAGAGCTAAAAGAAGACATAGTGACGTTAAAAACAACACACACCGTTTTGTTTTCCACTGTCCGGAAGCCGACATCAGAAATTTTGGGAAGTTTTTCGCCGAGCAGTAAAGCACATAAAACTCTTGTCGCTTCTGAGAACATCCCAAGGTCGGTCAGGACACGGACCTGTAATGAAATACAAAAAACACATAAACACTTTCATAGAGAGAGGTTCAACCAAGTGCAAAAATTCTGGGAGGTGCAAAATGAACATTTTGCCTTCCTACATTTGCCGAAGTTCAACTGACGCCTCTAATTCTGAAATGACATCCACAAATTCCAAGCAAAGCTTTGGCTTTTTATCCTGATTTTTTGAAAGTTTGCTTACGACCCCGCCTCCACCTCCTTGCCCCGCGCCCTCCAATGATTGTAACGAAAGATAAAAACACTAAGCACAGTTACAACTTTTAAGTTATGTCATTTTTCTTGGAACGACGTCTATTCCTTTTGTCTTATCTCAGTCTCCCTTTCTTCAGAAAAACTAAATCTTCAATAAGCAATGTCTCACCTTCAGAATTCTCACATCCACCGATCGTTGAAGGTCACGTGACACGTGCGTCGAGAAGTACAGGCACAGGGTGATCAACGGAAGAACCTGGTAACGAAAGAAAAACAACGCAATATTTAAGCAACAACAGTTGGAAAAGACGCTGGAAAAGAAAAAAAAAAGCCATGTACTGCTTTGTAGCTATTATCTGGATGGTCACGCAATCAACAAAACGGGAGAAGATTGCATGACGACTCACATGATGACTGTGAAAAGACTTTTACGACGTGCATTACTTGCAAAAATTTCGAACGATTTTGATTTCGGGCAAAAAAAGTGTCCGAAAATAAAACCGTCCGAAATTGTTAAGCGTCTAAAATTTTAATCGTCCGAAATATCAACAGTATAATACAAAATTTCTACGCAGCTCCAAAGCTCTTAGTTTCCTTTCTCAGGCGAACTCTAGTTGACACACTGCTTGAGATACATAACGGCTTAATATGATTTGTATTGATTTTTCCGCGGTATATCTCTAAAACCTTGAGGATGCAGTAAAACTATCATTTTCACAGATGTCTTTTCAGTCTAATTCGTGTTTTGTAGGCGTAAATATACTTTAGCTATGTTTCATCACAGTGTCCGAAATTTTTGTCCGACATTTGTGCGAAATGAGACAAAAAAGTGTCCGAAAATTAAACGTCGGAAATTTGAACGTCCGACATTCTTTGCAAGTACCGTACATGTTCGTGCACAACTGCTGTTGGGTTATTAAGAAACGTTCACACCAAGCAACCTTTATTAACAGAACTTTCTACTCTGGATCTTGAAAACACAGTCAAGGTCTCACTAACGTTTCTGCTAACCAAGGCAAACTGTTGCAGAATTTCCATTCGCCACTTTAGAAACGAAGAAAAAAAACCTGGGGCGAGTTTAATCTCGCAGTGGCTTTAAGAAGCCATACTGGCCCCAGTAACAATCTCACAAGCGACTGCGAAATGAGACTCGTCCCAGATTTCTACTGTGTTTTATGCTAAGATTAGCATCATACCGTGATTAGGTATCGTGCTCGGGCCAGTTCCTCGGTGATCCATCTTAACGCGGCCACAACTGAACGTCCATTACTTCTAAAAGCCTCGGACAGTAGATCAATCCCAGGTATCAGCTCGGCCACCTCACACCCAGTCCCAACCTCGTACAAAGCATAATCCTTATCGGCAGTAGGGTGGGGTAGGGAAGAACAAAACAAAGCCTATGGGGAAACAGTAATAAGGTTAAAGTTAAAAAAATCAAACATGCCGCGTGGGGAGACTGGATGAAACTTGTCTTACCTTGAAGAAAGTGGCCGACAGCAGGCAACATTCCAAACGAAGACCAAGATTAGAAGTGTGAATGTATCTGTAAAAGCAATAAAACGAATTGTGTGATATCTTCACCAGACATCATGGAGGTGACACAGACAGTGATCAAGATTCAGGCGACAATTGGCATTGACATTGGAAGTTATTAGTTATTAACATTGGAAGTTATGAGGAAAACACGTTTTCTAGTGTCTCTCCTTTCTTATTAACTTACTGTGCGATATCTGCAGCCAAAACACCTCCGAGGAGACATCCCCAAAGACCACATCTCTGAAGCAGTACAGCAGCGGGTTTGAGTGACGTGTCAGAGGGTGACGTCAGATCACGCCATGATTTGAGAGAGTCTGTTGTATTGAGGACCGTGTCAAGAGATTCTGCCCACCACTTGTAAGCAGCCCTGCATAGAGTTACAAACAAAAAGAGCAAATCAGGAGAGAGTAATCTTGCCCAACTTGTATTTCGAGTATTTTAGAAACAGAGCAGTTTTTTAATCATTGCTACACAACTAAACCTAGCCAATCACAAGTAATCTCAATACCACGCAAAAGGCAAACAGTGAGGTCTGCGTACGAGCCAAGTGGCCCATCAGGCCGGAGCTTATCTCCGGTTTCAGTTGCATGATCCGACTAGAAGTATTTCTACTCCACCGTGGATGGAATGCTAGTCCTTCGCGGGGCTACCACCAGAATTACATTCTCTGGTAACCCTATATACACCTGGGTGGAGAGAGGCACTGTGAGAGTAAAATGTCTTAGAGCTCGAACCCGCCACCGCGCCTCCGTAACTACGCAAAAATGCGCATGCACAGACCTGATGTTTCCGCTGTGAAACATGATGTTTCCTAGTTCGTGCATAGCCTGAGCAGCAAGACTTTTCTGTTTGCGAAACTGTAACATTTCTGTGGAGAGAAACACGCATTTTTTAACATTTTCACAAACACAGTCAAGTCTTGTGCTCATTACTGTCATTCTAAATGTTACACGTGTTAATATAATCCTAGTGACAGTGTTTGGATCAAACCTCCAAATAAACTTATTGAGAAGTAGAATCGTTTATGCAGTACTTTCATCATTTATCCTGTTCAAGGTGGCTCTAGCTTAAACTCTTTTGTGTGACCATTCATAAGAAAGCTATTGAGCAGTAACTCCATGCAGTATTGTTTATTATGCTGACCTAACTTTTAGGTCTATGGATAAAACCCCAGTGTGTGGCTATTCAAACGAAAGTTATAGCAGATTTGCACGTTGTCGCCATTTGACTACAACTACCAGAATTCCTTTCGTTTTTTCTTTATTACTCAAATTTTGAATTCCCAGTGGGGTTTAAATAACAGTTGCCTTAATTAGCATAAGAAACAGAAAAAGTGAAGGATTATGGCAGTTGTAGTCAAATGACGCCATCGTGCAAATCGCTTATTAAGCAGTTTTTTCATGTGGTACTGTTTATTATGCTGTACAAAGTGGTTCTAACTTTCGAGTCTGTGGATGAAACCCTAGTGTGAGACCATTCAAATGAAGTCTAATGAGCAGTACTTTCATGTGGTACTATTATAATGTACAGGGTGGCTTGATGAAACACAGCAGTACAAACAAGTGAGTGAATCCTACCAATCGTCTTATCATAGGAAGCGATAACCACGGCCAGTTGCGAGGGCTGCAAGGTAAACGTTTGCACATCCTCCAAAGCGTCAAACAATTCCTTTGTTAAATCCACTGGTACATCTGTAGGAGGCTTTACTTGGCTAGGCAGGAACCCAACACGGGATGACCCACGCTCTACACGGGCGCTAGACCCGCCTGTTTGAATAAGAAAAAAGACAAAGTACCCCCTTTAGACGACAACTATGAAATCAAGAGTCCCTAGGCTTAAATGAACCCCTTACTATAAACGTTCTAATGTAATACACCCTTCACCCCCCCCCCCCCCTCCCTTATTGAGCGGAAACATTATCATCACTTAAAAGAACATGGCACGTACCAAGAAAACATAATAGTTCCCAGCTCACTCACCTTCTTGTTGACCCGCGAGATAACACAGCAAAAGCTGTCGACTGTGCTCCAGTGACCGAGCGGTGTGATGCTTCAACTCAAGAGCCTGGTGCAGAGTCTGTAAGCTTTTATTGACATCGAGAGGGACTGAGACTAATCTAAGCGCATCTAAACTACCGCTGTACACATCATGACCCTTGGGATCAATATGCACCGCGGGCTCAATCGACATGTACTCAGCTGGTTTTATGAAGAACTCTTCAGCGATTCCCGTTTCCTTGGAGACGGTGATGGTTGGCTGGCTTCTGGACGGGCCTCCATTAGCCTCGATTTGTTCCTGAAGTTTACGTTGTGCCACGATTAGTAAAGGTAGCAGTGACTCAGCATAACGACTCCTGGAACAAGAAGAAAGCCAAGACATTAACGGCAAGCGTGGATAGGGTAGGTCACGCTTTCTTTTCTGTCACGTAATCCTATTTTTAGAACTAAAGCAATGAACCAATAAGAACTCAAAGAAAATACACGTAACTGGCGCCAAACGCGGGAAGAAAGCGATTGATCAAACATCTGATTGGCTCATCATATGGCGCGAATGTTTTAAACCAAGAAGCGTGCGAGGTAAAGCAAAACCAAAGCATATCTGGATTACTCTCGACACTCAACTGATAACCGTGCTGTGGTCAAACGCAGTTGTCATTACGTAAGGTGTCAAGCAGCCTCTCCAGTGGCGAACGTGGGTTCAGACAGATTTTGATTGAAGATACAGTGGCAGTTATTCCCCCTTAATTCTCTCACCTTGTCAACGCGTTGAATCTTAAAATGACGCTAACAGTCCTCTCCCATTTTTGCTCGTAGAACAACATCTCCACTGTGTACAGAATGTATCTCTTGAGCCAGCGGGCATCCACCACATTGGTATTGTCCAGCGGAATTTCAAACAGCAAACTCGCCCCACCTCTCTCATCTTCTACTCCTCCCATGAACCCTTGCTGCTCATTTATGACCAGGTCTCCCTTCTTCACTTTGTCACGCTAAATAAATAACGTTACATGGTCACGCAATAGCTCAGATTTGTTTGTCACATAAACGGACATAAATGAAAATACCTATCGAATTTTATATTTTCGATACTACGAAGAAAAAACACCAGAATAAGTATTTGTTAAAAATCCTCCACAAGTATATCTTATTGAGTGGAAGCGTCTGAATGGAAAAAAAATGGCACAGCAGAAAACTGCAGCAAGTAAAGCAAAGCCACTACACAAGTATGAGAGTCTCAATGGGATGGTGGGTTTTACGGCGAACGATTAATATTGTGGCTTTTTTTTATGGCTAACGGTTAATTTATTTTCCTTACGGTTAACAGAAATCTTTAATTTCCATTGTTTTAGAAAGTCAAAAATTTATTTTGATTACTGTAAAACATAATGTCTTAGGACCATTCCGAGATGGAATACGATATAGACCAATATGGCAAGACAACACACAAAAAAGTCTTGTCAAGAGTTCTTGAGACTTTCACTTTCGAGGCTAAAATGTTTTTACGGTTAACATTTTTCACGGCCAGAGGTTAAAATTTTTCAACGGTATAACCCACTGAGACTCTTAAGTATAAAATGAGAGGAAGAGAGCTCATACCTTTTTGTTCTGTTCAGATTCTGTCTTGATCTGCTCCTGCACTAGAACCATCATGTCCAATAATCTGTCAGCTCCAATATAGAACTTTTGCCACAGGGCCTTTCTCAGGGCATCAATATCAGTGCTGCCCTCAGCTAAAGGGTCCTCCGAGAGATGGAGCGTCCCTGCCACTACTCGCATGAGCACCGTCTGTGTCATGTTCCACAGGCTCCGACAGGCGTTTTGAAGCATGGTCCAGAACTTACCACGATAACTTAGCACCTAAAGAAAACTATATTTTTCAAATGATGCTTTTACGAATTTGACAATATAATACCGCCGAGCAAACTGCGTCCAATCACTGCACCTTTAAAAGGGATTGTGAATATGCATTTGCAATGTTTTGTCTCCTTTTTTCTCTTTACAACGTTTCTCTCAAAGTTTTATTCAACAAGCACAAAAAATGTTGAGTGTTTTCCAAGCATAGATGTATCCATCAAATTCCAGCTGTAAGATACAGTGCAACCCCGTTAATCCAGTCACCAACGGGCCACAAAAATCTGGCCCTATTAACGGGGTGGCCGTATTAAAGGGGTTCTTTAAATAAGAAAATGACTGACTAAGCTTTTGTTTGGGCCAGAATAAAGTGGCTGTAACAACTAGTTGGCCGTATTAACGGGGTGACCGAAAGGCAGGGTTCCACTGTTGTTTGACCAGTTTTGAAAAAGGTAGAGATGCCTTGGCTTCAAAACGTATTGCAATTGTAAAGAAACAACTTTACAAACAGCTTCAGTAAACAACAATTTTTTTTTTTCCGCTGAGGGCACAGTTATCCTTTCGAGCGAACTCCATGACGAGCCTACAGCGAGGGTTTCCGAGTCCCCGATTGCTACTAACCCATAAGAAAGTTGCACGAACTCTGTAGAGCATACCGAGAATTGNGAAGAAAAGTAAATCAAATTACAAACAAAAATGTATTTAAAAAAAAGAAGCAAAGAAGGCATAATAGAACCAAGCTGTGGTTCATCTATTGTCTATATCGAATGGAGACTGGTGCACACTCGTACCCAGTCTCAATGATGATTTTGGGTTGAGAAGAGATACGACACACCTTCAATCACATTGCATTAATAAGCACTTAATGACTTACCCTAAGAGAAACAGTGAGTTTTGTTTCCCCGAGACCCTCAATATTGAGGTCAACATTGAGGTTGCGGGAAAACAAAACTCGCTATTTCCCGTGGGACCAGTCATTAAGTGTTTTGTTATACCTCCCAGCTAAAAAGCTATTTACTTGACGTCGGTTGGCACACAAAATTTGACGCTGTTTGAAGGTGCACGAACTGATCACGCACGAGTCGAAAGTTCAAGTTGTTGTATCCTAGGGAGTTAGTGAGTTTTGACCCACAACACGTGATACGTTCTCCTCCGACCGGAAAACGTATTTGAGCTGGGAGGTATACGTAACAAAATAGCTAGTACATTGTAAATAGACGAATCTCTCCACCCTCTCTATTCTTCTCTCGCTTTACAGACACTGAGATTTCGACAAAAAAAAATTCATGCTGATGAAGTAACTCTGCGTGGCGTTGCTGATTGGTTGTTACTTGCAAGCAAAAATTTTAAACCGAAAGTCAACCAATCAGGACATTACACAGATCTTGGTAGAGCTACGTCATCAGCGTGGAAATTTCGGCTCCAGTCTTTCGTCTTTCGAACTGAAGAAGATTTGAAGACGAGGCAACTCGAGACAAAAGAATGGAATAGTTGTCTTTTCGTCTTCTTTACCTTGCTAAACTCAACAATAGCAGTCGCAAACTTTTTGATTTTCTCGTCTTCAGGCCCAGCTGTTGCAGCAGCCTGACGTACTATGGTGGGTTTGTTAGCTAACAGCATTTCGTTTCTCCTGCAAAGAGGGATCAAATAAGCGTCATGGCTAGGATTTAGAGTGCAAATGCTTTCTGTGCAAGTTTGAAGACACCACCTAAATTACTATGAGAATTTTTAAGAGTGTTGGTTTTCAGAACTTCTCTCGGCCAATGAAAGGGATATCTCTTGACTTGAGACCCTGTCTCCTCTGGGAGAACAGATCCATGAAAGAATTCACTAACTTTCAGAAAAACTTACGTTTTGATTGACCGAGTGAAGAATTAATCGAATACTCTATCCTGGTAAACAACGGACTTCTTCAAGATTCCTTGATGAACAAACCTAACCTCGAGACAAATTGTTGTCATGAACATATTTATTTCTTTAACCAGCAGAACTTTGAACACTGAAAAAAACTATTTCACTCACTAAAAGAAAAGGTTCAGATGTTGTTGTTTATAGTAGTCAATACGCTTAGCTCCCTACACCTAGCTAGTTCACAGGCATGCCACTTAAACTGAAGGAAACAAGTATATCAACTAAACATAATGTGCTTAAAAATCCTAAACTAGCTTTAGGCAGACCAGTTGGCTATTTACAAGCATGACTGAGGAGTTAAACTAGCGTCTACCGAGAAACAACTCCAGCTTAGTGGTCAGAAAGGGAATTGAACCCGCGACTTCCGGATTTCAAGTCCGGCTCCCTAACCATTCGGCCACGCTGTCTCACTACAAGTTAAGAACAGTGGCTCACCTTATAATCCAAGCCATGGTATCGTTAGTCCAGTCCAGTGCTGTTTCAGTCAAACCTTCCTGAAGCGCCTTGGCCAACACCTGGACATAAAATCCTAGGAAACGAGTTCTTCGCTTGAACTTGAGCACTGTGGGTGTGAGAACAATGCAAAAGCGTTGTAAACAAAGGGATTCTGTATTTGTCTTACACACTAGCACACATGCATCATTGCGACAAGGCAGATTAAGTCGATTCCAGTCTTCCAGATCGCCTGAGCGAGCCGATGCTTTACTATAGTTTCTATGAAACGAATTGATAAGAAATATTGCTGTTCTCCTGGACGGAATGAAAATCCATCAAATTCTGCACTAGTAGCGACGAATGTAGCCTATGTAGGTGGAGGACCGTATAAAGCGTGATCCGCGAAAACGAGCCGCGATTGGCCTGCCCTCCTCTCGCGGCTTCACCGCTTGCTCGCGCNAGCCTAAAGCATAACCGTAAAAAGCCTTGTTCTGTAAAAGCGAGGAAGAACAACAGAAATAGACAGAATGGCTATTTATGTTCTTAAAACCTACAACGTGAACTGGCAAAGTAAATACGTAAAGAGAGATAAGCAGCTTAGAGATCTACAATGTACCTCAAACTAAGGGTGTAACTCAATAACCAAAAGGGTTACGAAAAATACTAAATTCATATTCCCACTTATTTTAATGTGTTCCCCAAATGAAATGACAAACTCAGTCCTCCCATGAGAGTAGGTAGTAGCTAGCTGGAAAAGACCCGAATCCTTACAAAACTCACCTTGCTGGCTAAGCTTCAAGATGTAAGCCTCTAACGCCTTCAGTTCTTCATTCTGTGCATCCGCAGTGAAGGCAGCGGCTTCTTTCTCCAATTTCCCCAGTCCTCCTTTGCCTCCTCCACCTTTTGGTTTCTTACTCGCCCCAGGCTTCTTCTTTATGTTCTTACTCGGAGATGGTCCACCCAGCGTGGCGGTTGCCATGGCAGCTGCTGCTTGCATGGTTGTCATGGTACCAGCACTGTCCGGGGCAGTTTCAAGGTTTAACATTTTCTTTCCGAGTTCAATAATCGCACCTGCTACTCCTTGTTCATTCCACATCTGTAAAATCTGAATTGGTTCACAGAGAAGCTTTTCAGATAACACTACAAGTCTTAGGACGACAGGTACCACAAACGTAATTTACTTCACCCAAATTCTTCACTAGTTCTACAAATGGTATTCCTGTATGTGAAAACTAGTTTGACTGGCCATCATGTATCTTCTTNTGGCCTGCACAAAACCTGGCAAAATACAAAAGATGGTTGTGTGTACTCATACAACTAACCAATAGGAGCATTGCGATTGTCTAACTCATGCACAGTCAATGAGCATAAAACAAAAGATGTGCAGGGTCAAGGACCTTCCAACATAAATCTTAGCCTGTTTGTTTGCTTCTTTGATGTTTATCGGGCTTCTCATCCATTTCCCTCTATCAACTACATTTATGTTCTTATCATCCGTCAGCTTTGAAATGAACGAATTTTGAGAAGCGCTAGAAATAGACGAATCCAGAAGAGGCTAACATACCTTTGTAGAGAGATGTACAAATCAGAACTAGCTGTTTGTATATTTGCATTCTCTTCACATATTTCTGGTTCCTTCACATAATAATTCCACAAAACGGAAGCGGCAGATTTGGCAACAGATAATACACCAGAAGTGAAGGAGAGCTAAAAAATCACAAAATATTGTATTATGCAACCGTGACATACAATCTACAGTAAATTAGTGGCACTCTAGTTAATGTCCTTGAGTACAACATAAAAAGACCATCTAGCTTTCTGCACAACCGACCTGGATTGATGTACCACAAACGTCTGAAAATAAGCCCCTTTCTGAAAGTGAGCTTCCTGTGACGCTAAAAGTAAAAACCCTACAAAAGCGTACGTGTAATTCCCTCCAGGCTTTTAGTTTCCAATGAGAGAAAATTGATGAAGTTTACCCACGACTTGCCTAGCCCTGTTTCCTTAACTTTTTCCTAGACCTGCGACAACCCAAAATTAGCGAACAGAGTGTATAGTTTAATAACAGTGTCTAGACGATTACGTCTGAATAACAAGAAAAAATTATACAAAATTCTGTTCACAAGCTGAGCATGGAAAAAGGTCTAAAATCGATCAATATACAGTTGCACAACTTCTTATGGACGTCTTCATAATGTGGGCACCTCTAATATTAGCCTCCTACGACCTCTTAGGTATCGTCGCGCAATCTCCCCCAACTAGAAGATTGCGTGACGAGCCCAAAGAGCGCCTGCATAGAAGGCTACTCTAATATGGGCGCCTCTATAATGAAACCAGAATTCATATAGTTTCTCCTCATTTTCACCCCTTCATATTAAAGAGCTTCGACCACACCGTTTCATTTTTTTTTTTTCTTTTAGCGTTTAACTTTAACACACGGTTTACCAAAGACCGCTCAAGGAGCAAAGTAATTCGTCACGCAGTAACTTGTCACGTACCTGTGCTAGGTAGCCCCATGCCATGAGAGTTGGTAGCGGATGAGCAGCCAGCACTGGACGGCAAGTGAGGCCAATACTTCCACCAATCAGTTTCCCGTGTGCATTATACGCTGCCACGGCTGCCATGTACTTCTCATCGGGTTTGAGCCCACGTACATAAAATTGGATGTCAGCGGTAGCAGGGACCTGAGGTCAACAACAAAATTAACATACAAACTACAGTCAACGTTAAATTATCCATTACACTCGCTTGGTACCAAAAATTTGAGATGGTTCAATGGTCACTACTGTATCAACTTGGATACATTATAGACATATCTGCTATCAATATCAAAATTTTCTCCACAATTCTCCTGAAAGAATACCTGTTTGTGGCTCTTCGTCTACAAAACCCTGATGTCTTAGGTGTAAGTAACACAAAGCGTACCTCTTCTCCAGTCCCAGGAAGTTGATAGTCATTGAGTCTGACTTTAACGTTATTGCCACTTGCTGACCTTGCAAAGAGTCGGTACCAGGCCACCTGAAAACAAACGCGACCAGTTAAAATCACTCTGCCGCTGTATGCGTTTAAAGAAAGTCCAATATAAAACCATGCTGCTCATGCTACCTGACATGACGTTATTTGTAAGCAGGAATAATTTATCTATTATGTGTATATTATTACAGGGCAGGAAAAAAGTTGAAATCCACTTGCCCAACGGGCCAGAAAATTTATGTTTTCAATTGCCCCCAGTTAAACATTACTTGCAGTCACGTTATCGAAACGTCAGTCACCAACAACAGTTCTTTTCAGAACTACCCTCACCAGGACGATCACACTATACGAACTACTGATACTCCTGGGTTCAAATCATTTACTATGTTACTTGCAAATATATCAGCCAAAACGGCTATTACAGGACAAATGCAAACACAGTATTCTTGGATTTCAATTTAATCCATGCTTTCAACCACTATTTCACTCGATGTGGCAGGACGTCTTATAAATAACTGTTTTAATACAGTTTTTGAGACTTCTGAGGTTAATTTCACTTGCCCAACACATATTNGAAAGAATACCTGTTTGTGGCTCTTCGTCTACAAAACCCTGATGTCTTAGGTGTAAGTAACACAAAGCGTACCTCTTCTCCAGTCCCAGGAAGTTGATAGTCATTGAGTCTGACTTTAACATTATTGCCACTTGCTGACCTTGCAAAGAGTCGGTACCAGGCCACCTGCAAACAAACGCGACCCATTAAAATCACTCTGCCTCTGCACGCGTTTAAAGAGAGTCGAATATAAAACCATGCTTCTCTTGTTACCTGACATGACGTTATTTGTAAGCAGGAATAATTTATCTGTTATGTGTATATTACTACAGGGCAAGAAAAAAAGTTGAAATCCACTTGCCCAATGGGCCAGAAAATTTGTTTTCAATTGCCCCCAGTTAAACATTACTTGCAGTCAGGTTATCGAAACGCCAGTCACCAACAACAGTTCTTTTCAGAACTACCCTCACCTGGACGATCACACTATACGAACTACTGATACTCCTGTGTTCAAACCAGTTACTATGTTACTTGCAAATATGTCAGCCAAAACGGCTATTAGAGGACAAATGCAAACAGAGTATTCTTGGATTTCAATTTAATCCATGCTTTCAACCACTGTTTCACNTGTTGTAAGCAATGAAAATTAAAGTTGTCAAAATACAAGTACTTTTGGCTAATAGGACCATGCCGTATCTATTGAAGACCTGTTCAGGTCTACAGGAATTGTTTGATACTTATTCCACTTTTATAGGGTTTCCTTTCATCATTTAAATACTCACAACATTTGTATGTAGGAGTCCACTTCCAAGCCCTACCCTCTTTAACCTGAAATAATAACTTCAAAGAGATCTCGCCTGTAATACCTTGCCCTAAGTTGGCTAACTTGACAGCAATTCTGTGCCTCACAAAAAGCAACTCCATGTGCAAAGCTTCTATCATCCTCTCCAACAAGTTGGGCTCCTCAGGTTCTGTGACTTCATCTTCAATCTTGAGTTTACTTACACTTGAAGAAGGCTGATGGAAAGGGGAAAAAAAAACAAACAAAGAGTTGGCACTTGGGGTACAGCGAGGTTACTACAACTGCGCTGTTTTGGCAGGATTGTCCGCATGAAGTCAATGTTTCATGCATTGCTTCACATTGGTTTTACAGTAGAAGTTTCCCTGAGTTGCGATCCGTTTGTTCTAATAGTCTGTCAAGGAATCACTGAAGCGACAGGCTCATTATTTCTCCATCCTGCGAGACACATTTCTCAACTTGATTCTCGATACTCGATACTCGATCCCCAATACTCAATTCTCGCGAGAATCGAGTCTCAAGTCTCGATCCTTGACTGACCTGTGTGTCCCAATAAGAGCTGTTGGCTCATCAAGTGCGCTAACCATTAAGATGTAATTACTCTCTAGAATGTCCTTACCTTAATCCAGGTGACATCAGCAATGTTCCTCTTGCTTGTATCAATCACTGTATCACGTGCCCTGGTAATATCTCGNCTTGAGTTTACTTACACTTGAAGAAGGCTGATGAAAAGGGAAAAAACAAACAAACAAAGAGTTGGCACTTGGGATACAGCGAGGCTACTACAACTGCGCTGTTTAGGCAGAATTGTCCGCATGAAGTCAATGTTTCATGCATTGCTTCACATTGGTTTTACAGTAGAATTTTCCCTGAGTTGCGATCCTTTTATTCTAATAGTCTGTCAAGGAATCACTGAAGCGACAAGCTCATTATTTCTCCATCTTGCAAGACTCGTTTCTCAACTTGATTCTCGATACTCGATACTCGACCCGCGATACTCAATTCTCGCGAGAATCGAGTCTCAAGTCTCGATCCTTGACTGATCTGTTTGTCCCAATAAAAGCTGTTGGCTCATCAAGTGCGCTAACCATTAAGATGTATTTACTCTCTAGAATGTCCTTACCTTAATCCAGCTGACATCAGCAATGTTCCTCTTGCTTGTGTTAATCACTGTATCACGTGCCCTGGTAATATCTCGGAGCCCCTGCTCCAGAATGTCCAGTACCTTATTCAGCNCTCGCGAGAATCGAGTCTCAAGTCTCGATCCTTGACTGATCTGTTTGTCCCAATAAAAGCTGTTGGCTCATCAAGTGCGCTAACCATTAAGATGTATTTACTCTCTAGAATGTCCTTACCTTAATCCAGCTGACATCAGCAATGTTCCTCTTGCTTGTGTTAATCACTGTATCACGTGCCCTGGTAATATCTCGGAGCCCCTGCTCCAGAATGTCCAGTACCTTATTCAGCACCTCCCTTGGGCCTGTGTTGACCCCGCCCATGGTGACAGTCACCTGTTTGCTGGAATCCGTCAACAGACCTGTCAGAGGCCCAGGTCCAGTAGCAGGTTTCTCTGATAGTTCTGCTTCAGTTTTCTCCTGCAAAGTCAAGGGAAAAATATATATATACCTCTTACTAACCGAGTTCAAGGACCGTAGTGTAAGTTTTGGACTGAGTTTTTTCCACCGCCATAAATCGAAGGGGAAAAAACTAGGATCCGTAACTTACAGTACAGACTGAGAAGACGAGGTTAGTAACTAAAGATATTTATTATATCTCTACTGACGTGTGTCTGCCAGGTTCGGGAACGGTTTCTATTCACGCGGAACGGCTTCAAATTTCTGACGCACGTCAAAAGCAAAACGCGTCAATTTGAAATCGTTGTTAATCAAGTGACTCTTAAGTCGTTAGCAGGTTTTAATACACAATTTTAGAAGTAACAGAATTGAAAGTTTTACACTTTTACTTACTATAAAAGTTAAGAACACTTGGCGATAAATCACGAAAAATTTTGGCCACAAAAACAGCTTGAACCAGGGCTGCTCAATCGAGAGTCCAAGTTGTTCAAAGGTTGAATAACGCTATCCAACAGATAAATCGCTATCCAGGGCATAAGTGTTGGCAAAACAAACTACGCTGTTCACCGGATAGCGATTTATCCATTGTATGTAATATGTATCCATTGGATAGCATTATCCACCCTTTGAACAACTGGGGCCACCTCCTACAATGGCAAACATTGCACAATCAACTCTTAACCTGTTTACTATCCACCTGCTCTGGAGACACAGTCAGTGCTGGTGTTTCTGCAAATTGTATGTCAGCACTGCCAGCCCGGGATTGTTCAGTGAGACCTGCTTTACACTCCAGCAGTAAAGAGAACTTCAACGTCACTTCTGCACTTAGAATGGGATCAAAACTGGAGGCATTACTCCAGGAGAGAGCTGTGTGTACTACAGTCAGAATGTAGAGCCACTGAAAAGGGAAACAATCGGCAAAATTACAGTATCAATCATAACATTATCACTATGTAGTGCATCTCTCACTAGTTTCTTGTCCTGCAAAGAACCAGGAATGTTGCTATATGGATGAATGTATGTAAACACTTTTTCCGCGTTAAAGGAGCTCAGTCCCGGCATTTTGGCCATGTTCAAAATTAATTATCTTTACATGGAAGGAAACCTGAAAATAGTATTTAACTAAGCGGATAGAAAAACACTAAAGAGGTAGTAAAAAACCATAAAAGGAACATGGATGGTTAAGTATGGAGAAGATAGACACGGATTACAAACGACAAACTTGAAAAGTTTAGGCTTAGTTTGTAATTTGTAATTTACCCTAAATTTTTCAAGACGCGCAAACTGTGACGTCGCTACACGTGCATGTACTTTAAACACAAGTCAAGCTTAGCTTCGTACCTTGTAATTACCAGCAGTTTTTTTGCTATTAAATGTTGCACAACTAAACCTGCAAATTGTTCACTCCTGACCAATTACTTTGGAGATCAGCCCTATCTAAAATCTCAGTCGACATGTAACTCCTAGAAACAAACGAGAAGGTTACTGACGTTACTGTAAGTTACAACTTACCCCATTTACAAACACTTCATTCAACAGCTGCTTGCAGTTTTCCAAAGATGACGACAGGATTCTTTGAAAATGAGGCTTGCATTTTGACCAGAGGAACAGAGCAGCATCTACCATCATGTCATTGTCTTTCATAAGGATGGCAGACTGACAAGAAAATATGTAATGTAATGTAAGAATTGGGGGTTTGTGAACTTGATATTTGTAAGCTTGGTTAGAATAGTTATGCACCGTCTCGTGGTATACTATGGAATAGCCCATGAGACACATGTATTTTTTTCATTATACATGTTAGCCTTTAGGTGAGTGTGTATGCCAAGAAACTACAAGTGACTCATGGGTTATAACTTATTCTATGGTGCATGGAGTCAAATGTAAAGTTAACCATTGGGTTACCACACCCAACCAAAAGTTGAAAAGTTCAAAGGGCAGCTGTTTGAAAATTAAATAATCTATAACTTATAAACAAACCTTAAAAGGTTCTTCAGAGCAGGACTGAATAACGTCGGCCAGATATGTCAGCTCCTCAAGTACACTTCCACTCTTCCCTGTGGAGCCAAAACACCAGTTGGAAACATCGTAAGTGCATACACCTTACAGTAGCTTAGCTTGAGACATGATAAATTATTTACATGTAATATAAATCTAATAGTGTTCTATCTCGAATGCCATTCGCTTATTGGCTATGCTAAGTACTCTTTGTCTATTCTGTTGTGGATACAGAACTATAACAACTATAAGTAATGACAAGTCAGAAATGGGATTACAGAGTATGCTGTATTCTATCCACTACACATAAAGCAACATCCAAATAACTTAACACGTTGGTCTGATTGAGTGACTTCTTCAAGGACACAACATTCAAAGTACATGTAGGTTACAGACACTCTGAGCCTCAAGGCAGGTGCCACAACCAATCTTTGCAGGATCTGGGTAAAGTTCTTTGAAGATCCTCAAGGACCTGCTTTATATCCTTAAAAGGAATCTTCACTAAGAATACCTCCTATGAAATCTGAGGGATTACAGTATAAGGTACTGTCTCTGCGTGAGGCAAGTGGCACTTGTCTCCTGTTTCTGTAGCATGAAGCTACTAGGAGTATTTCTACTTCCCCCTGGATGGGATGCTTGTCCATTACAGGGTTACCCTCAGTATTAAATTTGCCGCTATCCATTTATACACCTGGGTGGAGAGAGGCACTGCATCAGGGTATAGTGTCTTGCCCAAAAACACACTCAATGCAATGTCCTCAGTCAGGGCTACAACCCAGCTAGACTGCTTGATCTGAACTCGAGCAAACTAACCATGAGGTCACCATGCCTCCGACTGGGATTATGATATATATGAATTAAAAGAAAATTATGATTAAAAGAAACCTTTTGATACACCCACCATGTGTATGGGCAGCTGTGTCACCTTCATCAGTATGAGCCGGTGTTTTCTTTGGTTTCTTGACAGTATTGTAAAATGGCTCCAAAGCTAACATCAGCTGCAGAGTTTTAATGTCCACCAAGCTGTTAATGTTGCTCTGTTCCTGCAGAAGCTGAAGTGTAGGCTCAATGAGAGTTCCAAATGATTCCCACTGCTCATAGCTGAAAGCATACTTCAGAAATTTGACGAGAGCAGGGAGAGGTACTCCATTTTCACCTACATTGAGAAATCAATTTGAGAGTCAGGATAAAATTAATTTAATATTTCGTACTCTAAATTACACTGTATGTTGTGGTAAAATAGTAGATATGAGATAAAGGTAGTAGTGCTGCTGGTGATGATGTTGATGACAACACAAATGTTGAGGACAATGATCATAATTGATCAATAATGACTTCCGCAATGAAAGGGGTGGAGAAGAGGGGAAAAGAAGACAGGAGGAAGAAGGAGGAGCTGAAGGGGTTCAAGAGGAAGTAGAAAGAAGGAAGATGACAATGATTAGAAGCCTTTGTACAGACCCAAAGCAGTTTTGGGGAGATTTTTCTCAGAAATCATTTAGAGTGTGTGTGTAGGAGGAGCTATTTCTTCAGTGAATAATATCTTTCTGTAAGTGAGAAACTACAAAGTTTTATTTCAAAATTAATACTCTTGAGTAGTGCATGTACCTTTGGCTACAAGCTCCATCAGGGAAGTGTTCTGTAGCTCCATGACAGATGGGTGGATTCCACCTTTATTTTTTACCACATGGGACTGTTTTGACCCTCCACCACCAGCGATAATTTCCATTCCTGCAAAGAACAGCTCTGCACACACATCAATAGCTGTGTCTTCTGCATCAGGAGCTGGTGCTTCACAGTGAAGTGTGCGTCTGTGCGTCTCGCTGAGGGCCTCTAATATCGCCAAAAATTTGGCGGCTGTGCCTTGTAGGTCTGACATAAGACGTTCAGTGGGTGTGCGGGGCCATGCATGCTACAGATGGAAGGCAAAATGGAAGATTGAAAGTACATGCACTGTACATATATGTAGTCATTCATGAAGTAATCTTACCATTCATATGTATACAACAGGTGCAAAATGATTTTCTTCCAAAGATCGTGTAAGCTGGACCCAAACACAAGGTCTTAATTCATGAGAACTACACTGTAAGAGAAGACTAAAGAATAAAAGAACTGCTGTCACAGTGATCTGACAGTTAAGTGTGTTGTGTCCTCGTGTACCTATTGTACCGTTAGGGAGGCAGTGTGCATGGCCGAGTCGTTAGGATGGACTTGAAATCCAGAGGTCACAAGTTCGAGTTCCTCTCTGACCACTAAGCCAGAAGTGTTGTTTCCCAGTAGACACTGGTTCAACTCCATAGTCAAGTTTGTTAATAGTGAACTGGTCTTTATTCCCACCAGTTGGGATTTTTAAGGCTGCATATATTATGTTTATTTGAAATATTTCTTTCTTTCAGTTTAAGTAACATGCCTGAAAACTAGCTAGTTGTAGCAAAGTGCATCGACCATTATAAACACACTACATTTAAAAGTAACATTTTAACAAAAACCAGTTTACAAGGGAACAACTACATGTATTGTATTTTCTTTGTTTCAGAGACATTGGTTAGCTGCAGTGTATCATTTGGTGTTTTCTACTGGCTATAATGTACACCCATACAAGAGAACAGAGCCATTCAAGTGTGCCTGACTCTCATTCAAGCCTTGCTGGTCCACGGTGTTGCATTCTTGAGACAATTTACAAGTACATGCGCACCTTCTATAATCATTTCCTACGTGTACTCCATATACTACTTACATGAGCAAAATCCTTAAGGTTGGGTTTTGTTTTAGGCCTCAGCAGACCCTTAGGTCTCTTACGAGTCTCAAACACCACCCTCTTGAATATCATGACCTGCATCTTGGTCTTAGCCTGTCGAAAAGCAGCATCAGTCTCAGGGGTGGCCTCTGATGTGCTCATCTTCTCAATATCGCTCAGCTCATTCACCTTGGTCAGGCCTCTCTTTGCAAATGTCTCAGCATGTATTTGAACTTTAAGGTCAAAGTAACATTGACATACTGCCGTGTATAAGGTACTGCGCCATGTCAGGTATTTGACAGTAAGGAGAGGGATAGAGGATTCTAGACACATGCATGCCCAAAGAAGGAACTCCAAGGCCTAATGAAACAAAATGTACATAAAACACAAGGGGTTGAGTTTGTTTTACAAACATTACTACGCTTTATTAATGAAAACTGCAAATGATTGATCAACCCAGCAGGTAATTTTCCACGTCTTCCAGGAAAAATTACGTCGCCTTGAACATGATTATCAAATTACTTTTCCTTTGGGGAGGGTAGTTGCTACATCTAAATGTGATGACAGAAATTCAGACTGATAGAATTGTTGATTTACATGACTTGTGCATGTAACAGAATTAAACCATAGGCTGAATTAATTTGCAAGCACTAAGGTACATGTAGATGAGATATCAGAACTGGACGTCTTTCTTAAGAACAGAAAATCCTTAATTTGTGTTATCATCGAAGCCTATTTCTAAATTGAAAATCCAATGAAAAGCCATTATTGAGTGTACACATGTACATGTACTTATTCTCACCTAGATCTCAGGGGCGTATTTCCATATAGTATACAATAATGGACTGTTTGATGAACCTTAACATTATTTTAGGATCTGTAAGGGTCCTTCAGTTAATAGATCTTCACAAGAACATGCTGCTGCATAATTAAATTCATTTACATGTACATGTTGATGGAGTGTTACTGTTTACGGTTGATTCTTACCTTGCTACTGTGTCCACAAGCCATCAAATGTCTGCAGATCGAGTAAATATGCACAGTGCCTGGAAAAAAAAAAAAAAAATGAAAAAAAAAAATTATTAATAATGTACAGTACAGTACAGTACAGTACAGTACTGATCATACTGTAGTAGGAACAATTCATGATACATGTAGCTGACCAGGCAGAGCCTTTTCTGAAACCCACATGTGAAAAGAAAGCACATGAGGGGGCTAAAAACAACTGAAGAAGGTCAGCCGAACAAGAAAGTTCTGTAGTGGCAGATGGCATGAAATCGAACTCAAAGCCTAGGATCATAATGAGTGGAGAACTGTTCATTTGATGCCATTTGCTCCATAGAGGAGAGAAGGGGATAAGAGGAGCATTTCAAACTGGAGCAAGGAGGAGCACATACTCAGTACAGGAGCAAGTACTAAGTCATACCTTACGCACGATTTTGACCAATAATGGAGTAAAATTGCCAAGGCAGTAAAGATTAAACGTCCACATGGCTTGACCATTCAAAGGAATATTGCTTACCATTGAAGACCAGCCAGCACAATTCCTCTTTGTGAAGTGACGTTTGTGTCGTCAAGCGAAGAACTTTTAAAGCAGCAACACAATGACACACTAAATCAGGATTCTGGTGGAGAAGGGGAAGAGGCAATGAGGAAACAAAAAGCAAAATTAACAATTTAGCTACGTACAGTACTAACATTAATTAACAATAGGCACAATTATATTAGAAAAGTTTTGGCAGAGCTAATGTGGTCATGTATTTATTTAATAAATAAAAATTAATTATGGCAACTTTGTAAGAGGTTAAGTCTGAATATGACCCAAGTGGCTCATCAGGCCAGAGCTTATCCCGGTTTCAGTAACATGTAGGGACTACAAGTAGGAGTATTTCTACTCCCCCCTGGTTGGGATGCTTGTCCATCACAGGGTTACCCCCCAGCATTAAATTCACCAGTACCCATTTATACACCTGGGTAGAGAGAGGCACCATCAGAGTAAAGTGTCTTGCCCAAGAACACAACACGATGTCCCCGGCAAGGGCTCGAACCTGGACCACTCACTCCGGAGTCTAGTGCACTAACCACGAGGCCAACGCGCCTCCCACATAGCAACTCTGTAGTTAATTATAATTTAATAATATTAATTTATAATAAATAATAATTACAAATTCCATTAAATTACAATTTATAATCACGGGTATATCAAGTGAGGAAAAAAGGAAGAATGTTTACAAAATATAATGTGAAGTGCTTGCTGCTGCAAGTTATTTAGATTGAATAAATAATCATTTAATTTTAATATGTGCAAAATTCATCCATGTATGTGCACTAGCTGAAAATGAAACAACTTGCTTACAGTAAGTTAAACTTGTTTACTAACCTGTAGTTTAGGATCCTCAGCACTGATTACATGATAAAAGCAAATAGCTTCACCAAGAGCTGACCTCAACTGTAACCAGGATTAAGAACAAAAAGAACTTCAGACAGAGTAACAGAAACTTTTAGGGGGTGGGGAGGCCCTGAGTAGTTGCTGGAGGGAGGTAGGTAAAGTCTGCATGCGAGCCAAGTGGCCCATCAGGCCGGAGCTTATCCCGGTTTCTGTAGCATTCCTGCATGTTGGGTTTTGTACTGTCATCTCAACACAATTGCCCTTTAAGACCTTAATTAAGTGTTTGTAGCATAGATTATAGTTAGCTCTTATTAACCGAGCAGGAGGTCTGTATGGGAGAATCTTGACCAAGGTTGTGAATACTGACCGAACGCAGTGAGGTCTGTACACACGGTCAAGGTCAAGATTCTCCCATACAGACTGACTAAGCTCAGTTAATAAGATATCTATTATGTGGCAAACAATAACAATTTAATTCGGTTAATGTAACTGGTTTGTGCTAGCTAGCTGACATTTTGCTTGTGAATGGCGATGAGCTGAACTTAATTCTCCCAAAGTTTGCTCGTCCTCTTTACTTTTTATTCACATCAGGCTTTTTGACACTTCCATAGATAAATATCATTAGAAGAAAATAGCCAATATTTTTGCATTTGAGTTAGCAACTTTTTCACCACAGAATGTAACTGATCTAGATGCCGGTCTAGATGGGAAGATCTAGACCGCTTTCAATATCGATCTCAGCCAATCAAATTTGTGAATTCAGTAGTTCCCAGTCCTTGTGAGACACAGCCACATAATAAAATAGAATATAAACACTGATACATACATGTACATGTACACACTGTACTTGTACATGCAATATGATGCAACACATATGACATAAAAATAAATTAAATACATTATACATGTAAGCACATGTATACCTTGACAGAAAACAGAAAGTCTCCAGTATTCAGCAGCTTCTCTTGGTAGTAGGATTGTGGAAGACGAGTTTCATAAGTGTTCCACATAGAGAACAATGTGTTTGACCTTTGATCAAATTCAGAATAATAAACAGACAAATTAAAAACCAAGTATGACTGATAATTTGTATTCTTTATATGGCAATCCACAGTAGGAAAAAAGATGGCGGCTGTACATTTTACCAAAATACACATGTACCTTGCGAACCTAACACAGCTTATAAGGCACAAAGAAAGCCTTTTTTT